ACAATCTGAGTTTGCAGAAAAAAAAAAAAAAAAAAAAAAAAAAAACTGACTTAAACTCATCCAGGCCTCACGTCCCCAGACCTAGCATTTTGGGAGTAGCTGCACCTCCCTTTTCGTTGTCCCCCACACCCGATTGAGTAGCAGCAGTATCTAAGGCCAACACTCTCCCACAGAGAAGATTAGCCTGGCCCCTGCACAAATAAATAGAGAAACGTGCGCCCCCCTCCCCACACACACAAAAAAAAAAGGAAAAAAAGAGCAGCAAGAAAGTGTCTCTTTTAGGAGTGGGATGTGGCTCATGCAGCTAGAGCTTCTTGGTTTCTGATGCAAATTCCTACCGTGAGAAATATGCACAGCCCATGTCAAAGCCGGGATTCGAGTCTATGCACATAGGTAAAGCCAGTCCACAGCTGGACGCAGGCCGAAATATGAATCTCTGGCGATTTTAGGAGCCCTCGCAGCCCAAAACAGAGGTCCCTTTTTTTGGTAGAAGTGGGATTTGAACCCACGCAGCTGACGCTACTGCAACTTGAGTGCAGCCCCTTAGACCACTCGGGCATCCTACCTATGGCGCCGCCCGGACTCGAACCGGAGACCTTCAGTGTGTTAGACTGACGTGATAACCAACTACACCACGGCACCTTACGGAAAGCTAAGCTGCCCGAAAGCAGATCAGCACATTCCTGCCCCTCTGAGGGGTGCAGTGAGGGCCTACTCCACACTGTGTTAGGACTTTTGGGACTCAACTCTGTGGACTCGACTGATGTCTGATGCATTCCGCTCTGGATGAAATTGCGGCCAGATAGGAAAGTGCTAAGTAGTGTGAGTATGGCCTGATTCATTAAACCACCACCAGCACTTGGTCCGGCTAGCAGAGCACCCTGCGCGCCAGGTTTTGACGAACCTCCTGCGCGACGTTTTGTTTTCATTTCGGCTGCGGCCTCCGGCCATTGTGGTCCGGTACCCCAAAGTCCTAAAGGCGCGCGCGGCGCGGCCAGGCCGATGTATGGGCCAAGTACAGGCGGTTTTGAGTTTTCTTTTCCTTTTTCTTCTTTTCCGAAAACAGGCTAATCCAACCAATTGAATTACCTGTCAAATCTGGACAGGACGGCCTTTCAGGCGGTTTTTATTTTTCATTATGGTGTTACGGGGAACCGGCTGACAGGACGGCCTTTTTCTGCTGGTGGGTGGGTGCAGCTCCCGCATGTTCCCTCGTTGGAGGCTTGATCGCAGGCCCAAGTCCTGGTCCTACGGTCCTGGCCTACCACGGCCCGCCTGGGTCCCTACCAGACATCCCGGCAACCCTGCTGATGCAGCAGTGTCCAGAGGACTGGGCCAGGCACAAACAGACGAGTGCCTGGTTCATTCCCAAATACGGACAAACCGACTGCTGCCGAACACCGCCACCGCCCGGGATTGAGAATTTTCCCCACGTAAACCACGGGTACTTCCTAAAGGGGTGCCGGTTAACAAGCCACGATGTTAGGAAACGTACGGGCCACTACAGGAGCACCCAAATTCATCCAAATTCATCCTACTACGGCGGAATCTGAGAACCACTGGTCCAGACAGGCATCTGCCTGTCCTACAGAAAGAAAAGTGTGAAAAGACACCTCTACCCCTACCAACTGGCCCAGCTCAGGGCATACTCACACCAGCACGGTTTCACTTGTTTCTGGACGGAATTGCAGCCAGCTGCATACAAGTTGGGCCGTAAATGCGGTCAGGTACAGTTCAAGATAGTTGTAGTGTGAGTACGCGCTCAGTTGGTTCAAGATCGTGGTAGTGTGAATACGCCCTCAGTTGGTACAACTCCTGAACTGTTGAGATACAGGGCCGCGCTCCACTACTGCCAGCTGTCCGATTTTAGATAATAGTGCATCGCTCCACTACTATCCCCTTCCAAGAGTCGGAGAAGTAGAGCATAGAAAAAAAAAAAAAGCAAAAAAAAAAAAAGTAGCGCATAGCTGTCAGAATCATCGGCTCTACGAATGCACTCTCCACCATTGGATACTATGCATAGTTCCCCCCCTGCAACGGTGGCTATTTGGAAGGTCCGCCGCGGAAAGAACGATCTATGGAATGCTGAAATTGGAGAGTGTACCTGGAGTCTGGGCGGACAAATAAGCGTACGACAAATTTGGGTAGACTTGTCTTTTGCGAGGACAGTAGTGGAGCGGTGGCATTTTGGGCCTCGCTGCACTACTCTCTACATGACATTGTGCAAAGTGAGAGGGATCATGAGTACTGCACGGCAAGATTTGGGTCACTCAACTGCCAAACAAACTCTTTTCTATCTTATCCCCTTACTCTAGTGGGACCATGCCCCTTGTGGTCCCTGAATTTGGGACTTGTTCAAGCTTTTTTGTATTCTTGCCTTGGGGCACTGGATTGTTAAAAAAAAAAAAAAAAACAGTAAAAACTTCAAAAAAGAAAAAGAATAAAAAGGAAAAAAAA